CAGGGGTAGCCATAGAGGGAGCCACGCTACAAGGGTAGCCATAGAGGGAGCCACGCTACAGGGGTAGCCATAGAGGGAGCCACGCTACAAGGGTAGCCATAGAGGGAGCCACGCTACAGGGGTAGCCATAGAGGGAGCCACGCTACAGGGGTAGCCATAGAGGGAGCCACGCTACAGGGGTAGCCATAGAGGGCGCCACACTATAGGGGATGCACAGTGGAAGGCACAGTATAGGAGAAGCCATAAAGGGAACTAATTATTATAGACAGGGCATAGAAGAGGCTACGTGATAGATCGACAAAGAACACAAAAGAGAGAAGTCATAAAAGCAAGCTTATGAGCCGGTCATAAAAGAAACTAGGAATGCAAAAACAACAGCGCTAGCCTGCATGGGAAAGCAATATAGCGAAGTAATTGGCAGCTATAATGGTATGTAGGAAAATAGGAATTACACACGGGCGAGTCTCACTAGGGAAAGTCGACAGTGTTTGCCTAGTGCTGCCCTCTATAGGGCGTAAGATGAATTAATCGTAGCATGCTGGGACAGCAGCATACTGCATCCATCTGACACCGCTAGTGGCAGGCCGCTAGCGCAGGGTGGTCCTAACAACGCAGCGTCGCCATGACGACTGCATCTGCGCAGAAAAGGGGGGCTGCACCCAGTGGCGCCACCCGGCGGGATAAATACCTGTGATCTCTTCTGCCCCAGCTAAACGCATCACCATCAACTAGAGCCTTCAATTTCGCCTTGTTAGGGAAGTAGAGGCTCAGATCTGTGGCTAGTATACACGACTTGATAACGGCCAGCACCTGCGAACGACATTCAACACACGGACTTTGTTTTCAACATCCGACCACTGGCCAACAACATGCCAGCAGCTCACCTATTGTCCTTTTTCCCCCAGCTGAATACTTCCTCATCCACAAGGCCCTTCAGTTTGGCCTTGTTGGGGAAGAACAAAGCCAAGTCTGTTGCCAGAATGCAATGCTTGATGTTGGCCAGCACCTAGGTAAGAAAGAACCATGCGCAAAGTTAACGCCTACGAAATAAAACGAACCCGCCATGCGTGCCGGGCAAGCAAATGAATTCGGTGGCGAGTCGTTGCCCGGCCACCAGGTGGCGCCGGTGGATTCCACGCCGCCGTTAGCGCCATCTGGTGGCCGATAATGCAACACCGCACCGATGTCAGCCACTTTAAATAATTCGTTCTCTAGTAAACTGTTTCGATCGAACAAAATGATTTCAAAAGAATATCGTAAGCGAAAAAATATATCTCGAAATAAATTAGTGTAGATATGAAACGTAGCATGTGCATCGAGTTAACGTATTTGTCATTCTAAGCCAAGGCACACCGGCGTCCGTAGACCGCGTGCCCTTCGAAACATTACGGAAATAAATAAAAGTTGTTACGTAATTAAGATTAAGGCAAGAAACGAATGGGATCTGATGAGATTCTTGTGATGTGTATGCTAATCATCACAAAGTACGTAGCAGCATATCCCAACACAAAGCAATGACAAAAATGCGACGCTTCCCTTTTTCCCGCGCATACAAACACAGGCTAACAAACATTAACAGACCGCAAGAGGCCACTCACCAAAAATTTCTCGTTTATCGTAACTCGACCTACTTGAGATTATCAATTATATAGAAAATTATAGCGAAATTGTTTAAGTTTATTTATGAAGTAATAGTATTCATTGGCTTATCATGTTATGCATCAGCTTATAAATGTTAAAAAAATGTAATAAAACATATAAATGACTCGCCGGGAAGCGATTATCTGCATATAGAGAAATAATGGTTTTGTTCCTAGGGTAGGAACCAACCCATTGAAATCTCCAGCCGTTAGGTAATCTAGAAATATTTCGTGCGTGGCCCAATGGTTAAACGTCGACTACGCTCGTGCCTCTGTATGACGTCACACATGCTGGCATGAGCGCAGGTGGCGCCACGGTAGGCCTACCATCGCGACACCTGTCGCCGTCATGCGTGAGGCAAGCCGCAGAGCGTTGTCAAGAAACCCCATCGACCGTGGGCACATCACGTGATCTGGACGCACGGGCAAAACAGTGACCCCAACCCCTGTAATCGTAACCGAAACTCTGGCCGCTCACCCCCATCAACCCGGATCGTTATTTGCAACCCGTCCTCACAACCCTACATGTACAAATATAGCCCCACGTCTAACCCTAACCCTAAGCTTAACCCTAACCTTAACCCTAACCCTAACCCTAACCCTAATCCTAACCCTAACAATAATCGTAACCCTAATCCTAATCCTAACCCTAACCCTAACCCGTTATTATGACGTTGAACACAGAATACAGATCACGTGGTGTCCCTTCTCACAACCGACGATATTTCTTGACAATTAAAGAACAAAACAGCACGCAGAAACAAAAGAACATTGCGACGACAGCCAATGAGCATGCGACATTGACGGCGCATGCGTAACGCAGCGAGGCCGCGAGTAAACGTGCTTGCAACCATAGCTCTGAGGGTCTACTGCTGTCATGTGTCACCAACTAGACACGTGTCACCAACCGGACACGTGTCACCAGCCGGTAACGTGTCACCAGCCACACACATGTCACCAGCTGGCCACGTGTCACCAACTAGACACGTGTCACCAACCAGACACGTGTCACCAGCCGGTAACGTGTCACCAGCCACACACATGTCACCAGCTGGCCACGTGTCACCAACTAGACACGTGTCACCAACCAGACACGTGTCACC